AAACACGGATTTCCTCTCCCCTCCCCTGAACAGGGCAGTCCCCAGGCCCCGCCCCTCTCCCCGGCCGGCCGGCCGGGAGGGGCTGCATGTCCGCCCCGGGGCACCGTGTTTGTTCAGTTAACTTTCTAGGGTTAAAGCTGCACCTGCCAGGCTCACTGCGCAGCTGGTGAACTTCAGCCACCGCAGGCCAGCCTCGGAGCAAGACAGCCAGGCCTGCTTCCTGGAGCCTGGCCCTGCCCTGGCCCCGCCCCCCGCCTCAATCCCCGCCCTGGTCCCGCCCCCCAGCGACCCCAGCCTCACCCGAAAGTGTGAGATTTGAACGCCCGTGTATTCATTTTCATGGGTTTTTGCAAAACGGCCGGCAGCACGTCGAGGGGAGATGTCCCCGGCGGGCGCGCTGGGTGAGAAGCAGGGCTGTTAAGCTCCCTGACCTCCCAAGGTGCCGGCGCTCCATTCCAGGGCGATGGCGTGATGGCGGGACCAGCCTGAGCTACCACCCCCTGGGCCATGGCGGCTTTGTCTCCTGCTGCTGCTGCCCTCAGCCCCGGGCTCCCCGGTTTGGTATGAGACATTGCTCCTGGGGTGCAGACCACCCCTGGGACATGGGGGGCGGGTGCTATGCCCCAGGCTCTTCATGGCTCGCTCCGCCCCGTCTCTCCTTGCAGCCCGGGGACCAGCCCGGTGCAGGGGAGCGTGGCGGCCTGGGCGGGGTGGGGTGCAGGGCCGGAGAGGGCTGGGTCTGGAACCTGGCGTTGCCCTCGTCTGTGTGGCCTTGGCTGGGTGTCTGAACCTCTCTGAGCCCAGGGCTCCTCTCGTGTGCAGTGAGGATGCGCAGCCCTCACGGCTCGCACGGGGCGATGGGAGGGTGGCACGGGCGCTGCCTGGAGCCCGGCCGTGGCGCCTCCGGGTCCCCAGGCCCGAGCTGCCCGGGACGCGGGAGAGGAGGGGGACAGCCCCGCTTCTCCTGTGGCATCGGCGCCAGCGCGCACATGGCTGTCGGCGGGGCCTGTGGCCGGGGGGCCCCGGGCAGCTGTCCTGGTCCCGGTCTGGCTTCCCTGCGGGTGGGGGGCTCGGAGGCCAGCGGCAGCCCATTCTGTTCCAGGAGCTGCTGTTCCAGGCGCTGCGGGGTCTCTGGTCTCCTCAGCGGCCTGGTCGCCCCATGTCCAGCGCGAGGCAGGGACTGGCTGAGCGGGGAGAAGCCGGCTGGCCTGTGAGAAGGTGCAGATTCCTATCCGCGTGCAGCTCTCCGGCCTCCGGGGAAACACGGGAGCCAGCCAGCCCGCCGCCGTGGCAGCTGGGCCCGGGCAGGGGCTGGGGGAGGGGGTGGGCTGGGGTCCCCTCCCCTGTGTCCCTCTCTGGTGTCCCTGCCTTCATTTGAGACCCTCACCCAGGAGAGCCTGCCCAGGCCAGCTCTCACCTCGTCTCCTCTGCGTCTCGAATGCCCGGGGTCTCTGTTCTGCTTGCTCCCCGCCCCCGCCAGCAGCCCCCCGGCCCCCAGGGGGACCTTCCCGGCTCTTCCTCCTCGGAGCTCCCTGTAGGACGTGCACTGGTGGGTCCCGGTGTGGGACCCCTGGAGGCCACAAAGCCAGCTCAGCCCGTCTTCCCTGAGATAGCTCTGGGCCCCCTGAGCCTGCCCCCCCCCCCCCCCCAATGACCAGTGTTCGGTCATTCACTCTCCCTCCTCAGATGTGGTTTCAAGGCTCCTCATGACCCCGGGCCTCTCCTTGGCCTCCTGCCTTTAGCCTTGAACTTCTTGCAGGGGACTTTGCAGCTCTGACTTCCATGTCCTCCCCACCCCTGCCCCTCCCGAGGGCCGTGCCTGAGGTCCCGCCTCTGTAAGAAAAGGGACGTATCCACGCACGGACAGCATCCTGGAAGGCCGGCCACCCCGCTGCCTCTGGCATTTCCGAGCGGGGCCTTATGTGTTGGTTTTATTTTTCTCCTACTGTCCCCAAGCCTTGCTCTGTCCCGCACAGCGGGATGGTGGGGCTGTGAGGATTAACGGGGTGACGGGAGAGCGTGCTCAGCCTGGGGCCCGGCCCCGGGGCCACCTCAAGGCGCTCCGCTGCCCAGCCTGGTCCTCCGCGTGCTCGGGGGCCTGGAGCCGTGGACAGAGCCTCCCGGCGCCCACTGCCTCCCAGTGCGGCTGTGCGCCCATTTCACAGGTGTGCACACTGAGTCCGAGGCCCAAGGTTCATGCTTGGGCTCCAGGCTACGAGCCTCACCATCTGCTACGCTCCTCAGAAGGTTTGGGGGTGGGCTGCCGGCCCTGGGGGGGGGGGGGCCGTGCACCTGGCCCAGATCCCTTTCTGGGGCCTCTGCTTTTCAGAGAAGACCCCTCACCTCATGCAGAGGCCACAGGGGCATTCAGTACCGTGCCAGGCCCGGGTGGGGAATGGCTCCTCCGACAGACGGACAGGGGACCTGGGCCCTGGAAGGACACTCCAGCCCCAGACCCCTGCTGCCCTTGTCGCCACCCTCCTTTGCACCCCCAGCCCCACAGCCGGCCCTCAGCAGTGGGCCAGAGGGACGTGACCCCGGGCGGTGCGGGAGCGGCTGTGTGGGTGCTGGGCTGGGACGGAGGCTCCTCCTGGCCGTCCCGCCGCCCCCCGAGGCGGGAAGTTAGATAAACACGCCAAGCCGTATCACAGGACGCGCGGCAAACGGACCTGGTCCCCACGGGGCCCACATCTGGCAAGTGTGGCCTCGTGGGGCCTCGGGAAGAGGCAGATGTGGGGGCAGGAAGGCTCGGGGGGCCCCCCTTCCGGGGCCGAGCCTCCTCCTGGGGCTCTGTGCCAGCCTCCGGGGCGGGGGAGCTGCCGCCCTGGCCTGGGGGAGGGGCTCCCCTAAGCCTCTCCGAGGTGGCTTCTCCCCGGCCGGCCGGCCGGCCTGGTGCTGGTGCTGGAGCTGGAGGCTGGGAGACGGGCCAGGCTGGTGAGACCCGGACGCCGGGCCGGGCCGGGCCAGTGGGGCCGCGTCAGACTGCCCCCACCGTACCCGTCCTTGCTGAGGTCGTGCAGTTTGAGCTGCTTTTCCGGAGCTCCGTCTCGGAGCCGGGGGCTCCCGTTGGAAAAGGGGCCACAGACTCCTAAGACCTGCAGCCTGGATGGCCGTCCTTCCTGAAGTGGGGTTTCCACGTCCGTGTCCAAGGGGCTCAGAGCCGGGTCTGTGGTTGAAGTAGAGACTTCATTCCCAGGTGGGGCATGATTGGTGATTCTCTCTCATCATGGATGTTTCTTTCTGTCTTTCTCTCCCTTCCTCTCTGAAATCAATAAAAATATACATAAGAAAGGAAAAAAGGTATTTGAGTCAAAGAAGGAAGTTGATGTAAAGAGAGCGCTACCCTGCTCTGTGCTGGTCCCCTCCCCCCGAGTCTTCTCAGCGCCCCGGCCTGTGGACAGAGAGGCCCCCTCTGAGCTCCGGGCTGTGGGTGGCGGGTGGGGTCCCGGTGCCCGGGGGCCTGCCTGCCGCCTCACTGGCTCCCATGTGCCCTTGTGTGTCCACACCCTGGTCCTTACTGCTGCCGCTCGTTTCTGTCTCGCTCTGAGATTGAGGTAATTCTGCATCCTCTACACATAGGGTGTGTGCTCCTTCCTCCATCCGTTCATTCATTCATTCACCTGTGCATCTGTTTGTTCATTCATTCGTTCATTCAACCATCTATCCATCCAGTCAATCACTCACTGAGCTCCGATACTGTGCTAGCCCCAGGGGGCACAGTGATGCTTGTCACTACAAACTCACAGCCTGACTGCTGGAAAGTCAAGGTCAGAGTGGCCGTTCTCTCTCCATAGCGGCTCGCTCGGCATCGGTGTTCGCCCGGGACACTCGGTGCTTACTAAGGTGGAAACTGCCACACACACGGGGGCAGTTTGTCTCCACAGCCTGCAGACGGGCACACCCTTCGGCCCGCGCGCCGGCTTCCGGGAGCGTCACCTAGGAGCAGTCCCTGCCAGGCCGCGCCACGTGTGTGTGCGTGGCTGGTGCCCGGCAGCAGGGCATCGGCTCGGTCAGGCCTGGAGCCCCGGGGAGTGGACCGCGGTGTGGGTCATCATGGTGCCCGTCCCCATGGGTGCCGTGAAGGGCGTTCGCGCTGCTTTGCCGTTAGAGACCAGTCCCAGGACGGTCCGTGTGGTCCAGGTTCACACCCTGTTACAGCCGCGGGAAAGTTACAACAACGTAAAACACAGTTGCAACAATGTATCTGAACTCGGAAACAGTTGCGCTCTCCGTGTCCTCATTGAAACTTACATGTGTTTCTTAGCTTTCTCCCTCACCCACGTGGGTTACTTCGCTCAGAAACATACAAAGAGAAAAAGATGCCGGATCTTTTTTTTTTTTTTTTTTTTTAAATATATTTTATTGATTTTTTTTAGGGGGCGGTGGGGGGAAGGTGAGGACGCCCCGTTCCTGTCCAGCCTTGCTCTGTGGGCCCCGGGGTGGAGTGTTAACCTGAGCTGCTTTCTGGTGTCACCGGCTCATGACCACTGGCCTCACGAGAGTTGACCTCAGGTCTGTTTGGGGGTCCGGTCTCACAGGCTGGCACAGCACCCCGCGCTCTGCCAGCCTGTGAGAGGGCCCTTGTGTGTTTCTTGGGACCAGGGGGAAAGCTGCCACGCCTGGTGGTGGTGTAAGGAGGCGGCTGTCTGCAGATCGGGCGTGTGTGTGTGTGTGTGTGTGTGTGTGTGTCTGTCTGCGTCTCGCTCTGATAGATAGGGGAGGGGGATTCCGCATCTGCATCCGATTGGAGACAGATCTGGGGTTGATTGGTGATGTCTGCCAGGGGCACAGGGAGGGACACAGCCCTCACTTGCGACTCTTTCGTATGCTGATGATTTTGCACCCGTGAAGCCAGTACAGTCCTCTTTGTAGACTTTACCCCTCCTCCGGGTCACGGTGTCACAGGGACCCCCACGAATGATTTCTCTTCCTCTCTGTGCCCCGCCCCATGACCCCTTTGTGCCGCCTCAAACTCACTGCCCATCTCTGTTCTCTTTCAGTCGAAGAGGGGGAGGCCTTGGACTTCTCGCTGGCCTGGGATTCCTCCGTGACGGCCTCAGGTAAGCGCCCTGCGACTGGGGGGTGGGGAGTCTCGGGGACCCTTCCCCCGGGGGGGGGGGGACCGGCTGGGGCCTGGAAAAGCCACCGGGCTGGTCATGCCAATCGTCCGCCTCCGGCCCAGACGGCCCCGGGCAGCCCGGTTTCAGACAGCTCCGTGTGGCCAGTGAAACCTGTTACACGGGCCACGCTTTCTCGGGTGGGCACGCTCCGGTGGGCCACGCGTCCCACGGCTCGGGGTTTGGAGCCCGTGCTACGGCGCCGCTGCCCTCACTCCCTCTAATGACCAAGGCGCCGCTGTAACAGCATGTGTGTCAGGGCGGAGGCTGGGGCTCCGCCGGGCCCGACGCTTCGGGTTTTCTGCTGAGAGACGGGCCAGGGCGGGCGCCTCCCGGGAGTGGTCCATGCTGATGAGCCGTACAGCTCGAGGGGCCCGTGGTCCGGCCGACTCTGCGGCCGAGCTGGCGAAGCCCCGGGTCCCCTGAGCGGGCGCTCGGGCGGTGCTGGGCGCCGGGTGGCAGGTGCAGGCTGGGAGGGCCCGGACGCGGGCGATGCCACGCCGATTGAGCGTTTCTCGGTGGATGCCAGGCACCGAGCAGACACTTGACAACGGCCTTGCCCCGGGCCAGCGCGCCAACCCCAGGAGGCGGGCGCTGCTGGGAGCGAGACCTCGCCCCCTCTCCGGCGGGCCCGTGGGGCAAAGCTGCTTTCCATCGTGTGGGGACAATGTCACTTGGCCGCATCAGAAATGGGGGCAGGTGCCCAGGCTGATGGTAGGGGAGCAAAACTTCCCCGCTCCCCCCCCCAGGCCACCTCACCCGTGGTGCTGCTGCTGGGACTTGCCAGCCTCATTTGGGGGGAGAGAGGGAGGCTGGGAGCAGTACGGGAGCAGACCCATGTCCCAGCCAGCGCCCTGGGGGGCAGGGGCTCGAACCCAGGTCCTCCTGCAGCCAGAGCCGGGGGTTTAACCTCTTCAGTGCCCAGCATCACGGAGGCCCTGGCGCTCCCTGGCCGCACAGGCCCCGGGGGTCTCTGGCTCCTCCGTCAGAGGAACAGGGGGAGCTCAGCAGTGGGGTGAGAGCGTGAGCAGGGGGCGCAGAGCTGTGGGTGCGGTGCGGCTCCTCGGCGTGGACGCGGCAGCCCGGGAGTGGGTGGTGTTCTGGTGCCGGTTGGGCTTCCTTCCATCATGGCTGCTCTGGACCACGGACGCAGCGGAGGAGGGGCCGGGATGTGACCCGGTTACCTTGGTAACAGATGCTCCCTGGCGGGGCCTGCGCAGGGACAGCCACGCCTATGGCTGGGGAGAGGCAGCCGATCTAACCAGCGGCTCGCCAGGGCCGGGCAGCCCGAGGCCTGGTTGGTGGGACCGGCGTGGGAGGCCTCTCTGCCCGCGGACAGGCCTCAGGGTCCTGGCTAACGGCACTGTTCCTCCCGCCGGGAGCCAGGCCTCCGGCTCCGGCTGCTCGCACCCGTGCGGGGGGTTACGTCGAGGCCGCCCGCCCGGAAGCAGCAGAGCCGGGCCGGGAGCCAGGCAGCTCGCGCAGGAGCGGAGCGCCTCAGCCGCCCATGGCAGACCTGCCTGGGAGGCGGTGGTCCCGGCGCTTCACTTTCGAGGGGACCCAGAGGCTGGGCGAGGGGTCAGCTCTGTGTCCGGCCCCTCCCGGGGCAGGGGGACCCGTCTCCTGGTCCAGGAGGCCCGGCTTGCCCCGGAAGGAGGAGGGGTGCGTGTGCTGTTGGCCTGTGCCGTTTCCCATCTTCAAAGGCTGGAGAGCTCTGGGCTGGGCCTCCTGCAGGGCCTCCTGCTGGATCCCAGCCGCCGCCCTGCGCCCCTGCGGTGACTGTGAGGCAGGGGTGCGGTGTGCAGGGGGAGGCGGGCCTCAGCGCCAGGGCTGCAGACTCTGTACCTACCTGCTGGGGTGGGTGAGAGGCACCTGGGTGTCCTGGGGCCTTTCAGGTCCTCTCTCTGCAGGTTTGGGCGAGGAGAGGGCTGGGGAGAGTAGTCTGTGTCCCCCGCACCCCCCCCCACACACAAAGGGGCAGCCCCTCGCCCTGCAGCCCCAGGTTTGGGCCCGCAGGGGAGGAAACAGCACAGGCCTCCCCCTGCCCCCCACCCCAGTCGTCCAGCCCCCACGCCATGACCTCTCGGAGCTGCCTCCCACCCTCGTGTTTGCTCAGCGCCCGGATTTATTATTTCAGCCGCTTCCCAGATCCCGCCGCGGCCTCGCTCTCCTCCCGCCCTCCGCTCACGCTCCTCCAGCCCTCTCCCAGCTCTGTCCCGGGAGCCAGCCTTCCCCCGAGACGTCTGGGGGACGCCTGACCCCCGTGTGACCCCCGCACCCACCCCTCTGGCTGCGGACTGGGGGTCTCGGCGGCTGCCCCGGACCCCGGCGGGCGGGGGCCGCCTCTCCTGACCCGGACGGCGCTGTGAGTGACAGCGGCGCAGGCGGGCTTCCTCTGGAGCTTTCCTTGGGGCCTCCAGCCCCTTTCCGTCCTGAAATCAGGCTGGGGAGCCTGTCCCGTCCTCATGCCTGCCCCCCCCCCCCCCCCCGGTCCCTCACTTCAGTTTCTCCCTGAGCCGTCGTCCCCCCGGCCCCGCTCCCCTCCAGCCCGGGCGTGTTTCTGGACGAGCAGAGGGAGCCGGTCCCGGGTTTGAAAGACTGACGAGCCGCGTTCCAGGTCCAGCTGGGCGTCCCTCATTAGCCGGGCCGGCCTCCGCGGGGAACGGAGCCGATGGAGCCGGGAGGGCTCGGCAGGCAGCCGCGGGCCCGGCGCTCACCGGGGGAGCGTGGCGGGCAGACCCCCGCCAGGCCGGCCCGGCTGTGCCTTTGAGAGAGCCGCGCGCCCCCCCCCCCCCCCCGGCCCGGGCGGCCTCAGAACCCTCCGGGAGGCGGTGGCGCTCGGAGGGGGCCGCGCCGTTGCCATGGTGAGCAGCCCGCGAGGCAGGGCGCCTGTGCCCTGGCACAGGGGGCGCCCTGGGGTGTGTGTGCGCGCGCGTCCAGGTGCCCGGCCCGGTCCCTCCCCCTCAGGGGCCTCAGCGCCCCTCCCCCAGGCACCCGGGCCGGGCTGTCGGGGGCCACTGTCAGGGGGATATGGAGCTTCCTGCCCCCCCTCCGGCCTCCACCAGCCGGGGCCCTGCCAGGCCCATGTCACATCCGGTGTCGTGTCCGTCCTGGGCACGTGTGTGCGGGTGGCCAGGGCGTGGTCCCCCCCAGGATCAGCACTGGTGGGGGAGGAGGGGTGGGCTGGGGGCTGGGGGCTGGGGCTGCTCTAAAAGGCCCAGGCCGAGGCCGTCACGGGATCAGCTCCAGAGGAAATGGCCAAGGTCAGCCCCATGGCGGTCCTGGCCGGCCGGCTTCCTGGGCAGCGCTCTGCGGGCCCAGCTCCCGGGTGGGCATGGTCCGCCCTGCGGCAGCCGATGGCCCGCTGGAGGCTGCGGTCAGCTCAGCTGACGTTCTCTTCCATCCTGAGGCAGGTGTGTATGCATGTGAACACACACACACAGACACACACTCACACTCATACACACTCACACACATACACTCACTCACACTCATTCACTCACCCACATGCACTCTCACACACACACAGTTACACACACACACTCACACACATACACTCACACTCATACACACTCACCCACACACACTCTCTCACACACACAGTTACACACCCACACACTCACACACAAACACAGTTACTCACACACACATACACACTCACACACATACACTCACACTCATACACACTCACCCACACACACTCTCACACACACAGTTACACACACACACACACTCTCACACACACACAGTTACTCACACACACATACACACTCTCACACACACACTCACACACACACACTCACACACAGTTACACACACACACACTCACACACACACATACACGCTCATAATACACACACAAGCTCACGCACACACTCACACTCACACACACTCATAATACACACAAGCTCATGCACACACACACACTCATGCACACACTTACACACACTTTCAAACACACATGTTTACACACACACTCTCACACACACACTCATAACACATACACTTATGCACACACACTCATGCATACACACATTCATGCACACTCACACTCACAGACACGTGCACACACATGCACAGTTACACACGTGTCCTTACCTGCTGTACACAGATACGCACACCACACTTAAATCGGGCACACACACACATATACTCGAGTATACTTACTCCCCCATAACACACACTCAGTGTTCACATACAGAATTCACCTATGTGTTCCCCCCACCCCACACATGCACACACGTGCACAAACATGCAACCCATGTGTGCAAACACAAGTACGTACAGGTGCGTGCACAGGCGCCTGCATAGTTGGCTCTCTGTATCTGTGGGTGTCGCACCAAGGATCTAACCAACTGCATTCAGGAAAAGAATCCCAGAAAGCTCCAAAAATCAAAACTTGAATTTGCCATGCGCCATGCACCGTGCACCACGCTCCATGCCCCACGCCCCATGCGGAGCCGGAGAACGCCGTGATGGCAGGCCGGTGCTTCGCGCTGAGCTAATGCAGGTCGCGTGCAGGTGCCGCGCCATCTATGCAGGGCTCCAGCCTCCGAGGGTTTTCCTAGCCGCAGGTCCTGGAACCAGTCCCCGTGGATGCCACGGAGGACTGTGCACGCTCACGGGTGCCTACACATACACAGTGCACACAGGCACACACTCAGTGTGTGTGTGTGTGTACAACCAGGACACGCGCACCCCCACGCCCTCTGCCCCCCCCCCTCGGCGTGCAGATGTGCAGTGAGGCCTGCTCCTGGGGTGTCTGTCTCCAGCAGGAGGACGGTGCTCCCCTGGCGGCTGTCCATGGCGCCCCCCCCCCCCGCCCCCAATGCTCTCCATGGTCTGTGGTTTCTTTGTTGCACCATCAGAGTCAGAGATTCTTTCCACCCAAAGATTTGCACCCCTGCCGCGGGCCAGACATAGAACCCAGCGCCCATCTGTCC